CAAATCGAATGAGGCTTTCAAGCATCGATTGCGTCGATTTACCCGAGGCCCGAATCTTGGGATCGACCATCAATAGAGTGCACATTACGTCAATGGCCGCGTGGATTTAGGCTACAATCGGCCCGAAAATGGACTATAAATCTTTAGATTTGGTTCCAAGTATTAATGTAAGCCCTTAGATTAATAAAACCTAGATGGATAGTCTTCATACAAAGGCTTCGTCAAAAGTGAGGTAAAAATGTTATGTCATTACTGTCAAATTTTATTTCATTACTGTCAAAACTTTGTTAAAAATGTTTAAACTAAGGCGATTTTTTCGACAGTAAGAGATTTTTATCCACATTTACCGTAATAAAATGTTATTATTTGTTAATTAAAAATTATTTAATAAGACATTTAATTAAAATAAAAAAGTTTCAAGTTTCAAGTGGACCAGAATGGTGCACTAAAAGTTTCTTCACTTTTCGTGCGCTGGCTATATATCTAGGTTTTATTACTCTATGTGTAGACCCGAATATGCAGAGATTTTACACTCGACAGCACATCAGATTATTTTAATCCACTTAAGGGTTAAAGTTAGACTGGGACATGTAAAAGCGCTTTACTAGACTTGAGTATTTGCAGAAAATATAATGACTTTTATGACCTTTAAAACCCCTATTACGACTTCGTTAGACGTCACAGTGAAATGGATACACCCATTTACCCAATAGTTAGATGTAAGTACGACTTTTCACACTTATTAACGCTTTCATCGCTGATAGATTCTTATTACTTATCACACTAACATTGGAATCGAACCCGCGACCGCAGCTAATGTTGTAACCTGGTACACCCAAAACCACGACATAGTTAATTATTTAAAAACAATCATTGCTTTTGATTACACCCACACGTACGTACATCTCATCAACTTCATAATTTTTAATTACCTAACTAATTAAGATAGCTCAAAACCCTCAAAGCAGGTTGATCTTGTATTCCCTTTATCCTTCGGGTTCAGAAATTAAGCACAGTAATTTTGAAATTATAAACATTTTGCTTTGTAAATTTCCAAATTTTATAAGTACTTCAACGGATCCTTTTTAATAACTTACCTTGACATTCTAAAGTACTTAGTACTCGGACTGATTTAATATAATAGGTTTAATGAAACTCTCTGTAATTTACATCGCAAACGTTGAAGAAGTAATTTGAAATTATTAATGAACTTGAATAAATATCGTTACTTAATTAATTTTCTGGTACCTGTTATTCTGTGAGTAAGAACATTGCTTATAATAAGTCTTTAAAAGAGCTAAAAGTTAAGCTGTCTTTAAAAGACGTTTTAACTAACAAAATCATAGTTTTAGTACGCTAAAAACTTTTTTCATGGGTAAAGTTGATCCCAATATCTAATTATTGTGATTGTTCCTATTTTTTTTAGAATATCTTATTTATGTAAGGAAATAAGATATTCTAAAAAAAATCTGGCAACTTTTGCATTTGTAAATTTTGCCACCATTGTCTAATGGCTCTCATTTACAATTCCCATTCCAGCATAACACAACAAACTAATCCGGTATTTCTAAATCCGGGTTATTACCAATCCGGTCACCGGATTCCTGCAGACTCAATTCTCTCAATTTACCGAACGATCTAAACTTAGGTATGCTCTGCAAACCAGCATTGAATGCCACATTGCTACATTGAGTTCGATGTAGTATAGACACGAGGCCGGCACTAGTCTGGTTCAAAGAATATTTGAATGATCAAACGAACTTACCAAGTGAAGTTCGATCTAAATTATCCTGTTTTCGCCGAAGAGATTTATTTTACCATGTAGTACCCCTGTACGACAACCCAATCCGCACACAATATTCAGCGTAGTAGTATTAAAAAACAAAAGAGCGGGCAACCCCACCCCTACCACGCTGTGGGCTCGGTGTCCGAGCGGTCTCATTATATTTAGAGAAGAGATGACATTGACGTTTACCTCCAGGGAAGAAGATATAGAAATCTTCGGGTTGGGAGGGACCTTAAATCTCTTCGGCGAAAACAGGATAATTCAAAAAAATGGCTACTGGTTAACATCGCGCGTTAACTTGGAGCTAAAAATGGGTCAAAGTTACGCGTCGTGTCACAACGCTTATAATAAAAATGTACGAGCACTTGCACAAAATAGTTGTTACAACCAACCTTTTGTTGGGTCTAATTCTCGTCACTACACTGCACAACTTAAAATAATTACGTTTTTTGTCGGTAAAAACGTCCTGGTGACGTCACTTAAGCATTTTTCTTATACTGCGTGCGGTCGTTGCGCGTGCGCACAAAGGAATGAGACCGCTCGGACACCGAGCCCACAGCGTGGTAGGGGTGGGGTTGCCCGCTCTTTTGTTTTTTAATACTACTACGCTGAATATTGTGTGCGGATTGGGTTGTCGTACAGGGGTACTACATGGTAAAATAAATCTCGGAGGCGAAAGCAGGATAATTATAGTTTGGGTGAACTCTACCAGACGCACATGTTTTTGTGAATGTACAGTCACGGAATGAAAAGGTTCGTCAGTTTTCAAATTGATTCCTTCAACGAATCGCGAGCTTATATTACCTTTTGAAACTATGTTACAGAATGAGTTAGAGAAAATAATCTTTAACTGTTCGTCAGTAAAGTTCAAAATTATTCAGATTAAAGTTGTTTGACGATTTAACTTGTCAAGAGGATTATTATGATTGATAAACTAAAACCTTCTTCTTGGTTCAACCTGCCACTATCTATTAAATTAAAAAAACTACATTTCGTAACATTGCACTGATGGGATAGAAAAATAAACAAGCAAAACCTTATTCGTTAGCAAACGTCATATTTATTTAAATGTTAGCAGCACTGTTTCTTGCACGGTTATGTTGGCAGGTTTGACTCTTACAGTACCTAGTGCAAGCGACAACCGACACTAAGGTGACGAACCTTTTCATTCCGCGACTGTACCTACCTACCTGCTGTTTGGTGCGATTAAATGTCAAGTCACTTGATTGCAAATAGTTATCATCATAATCATCGTCGTTTCAGCCAAATGACGTCCACTGCAGGACAAAGGCCTCCCCCAACGATTTCCATATGGACCAGTCCTGCGCTACCTGCATCCTGGTACTTCCCGTGACCTTCACTAGATTATCGGTCCACCTAGTAGGGGGCCTGCTACGTCTTCCGGGCTGTGGTCGCCACTCGACAACTTTTCTGCTCAATTAAGACAAAAAATCGAGCGTAAAGATAAAAACGCCGTCGCAAAACGCCGTATCTGTTATGCCCTCGCTGGTTTTATAACTTAAATTCAGAGCTTGTGAACTTTGAACAAATGAAACCTTCTAATGACGGAGCCCGAGGGCAATGAAAATGATTTTCTGTTACTGGTGGAAAATAGAAACAGACATAATTACTCGCAACTAATATTAATTATGCTGTATCTGCTTGAAGTTGTAAGCTTAGTTTGCAGAAATGTTATTCGTTAAAATTAAACTAGTATAGCATTATGGGCATTGATAATTAAGTGGTAATTTAAATTCTGATGAGTGTTTGCTTCGTCGTCAAAAAGCTGAATTTAGTTAACGTTAAAACACTGCAGTAATTTCTTTTGTTTAACAAATTAATTTATTCCGCGGTGATTAGAGTGACCAGAAGCCTTAATTTGTTAGATGATCTTAATCTAAAACTTCATAAGGAATTACTGAAACTCGCCCTAAGTCTCCTAAAACAATAAGTGGAGTTCACAAACTTGTACGTGTCACTAAACAATGCTGAATAGTCTGTGTTTATGTGTAGCATCAAGTTTGGTATGAAAACTACGTCCCATATGGACTGGACATTTCACACCAAATTATTCGGGTGGCACGACCCCTATGTCCAGCGTAGGAATGTTTTAAAGGCCGGGTTGCCATTTTGTATATTGTAACTCTTAAAAGGAGTAAGATATATTTTTAGAGAAATATTATTACATCAATCCCAAAATTATATTTTTTCCTTGTATGTTATTTTGCGAACAAGAAGTAAGTACGTGTCGGAACTATAACGGCTCCTTATTGTCTACACATAACCTTAAAAATTACGAGTTTTCACAATTTGCAAAATAATATTGTAGCATCATCTAAATGTCAGGAAAACAACAGAATCAGTGTGGCAGCAACACTCCATATGGCAGATTGTCCTTAATAAAAAAATGTAAAAAGGAAACGACAAAACCAATAAAGAAATATTGTATGTTATCATTTTATAGAAGCGACCATTTATAAAGAGTACCTAGATAACCTGTGTTGAAAACTATCAATTCCATTTCCACAGAAATATTTTCCTTGTTCGATCGGGTAAACAGTACTAGTGAACCTCCATTTACTCCCGCTGAAATTAATTTGATGGGTTGTGTTATTTCAACCGGTAGATGTGGCAACACTGGCTGTTATCTCTGGGGACTCGAAACAAATGAATGGCTACGCGAACGGTTAATATTGGCAAACATCTAGCCCGTTTCAATTGACTGTTTTGACATCGGTCAGTGCCCCCGAATTTCTTTTGTTTTAGGGGCAATATTAATTATGACGGATGTTTACTTACATGATGTTTGTTTTATGTTATTAAATAAATTTTTGACGTAAATGAAACGAAACGAGTGGTTTAAGAAACTCAAATAATAGCTGTTTTTATTTATGTTATGAAAATATTTAACGATTATTTGCTCTCCTGTATTGATAAATATTTTGAAACTATTTTACCTTCTGCTCACATCGCTTAAACGGATTGTATCCTAGATCTACGGGACTATTCCCACCAAAGGTCCTATCGCTGCGACTCACCGCCAGTAGGTTACTGCCATACCTACTCGCACATTTGATCTAATAGCTGACTGGGTCATAATTGATGCAATAGACCTGCAAGATGTAAGGCCACCATATTGCAGAATATTGTCCGTTAAGATGCCCCTTAACATGTCTTTTAGGAATATTATCTAACTCCATGTCTCATCCAACAGTTCAATGCTGTATGGGGTCTGCCAGCGGTGGTCTGCGACTGCTACATCGCGATGGACGTCACGTGCTCCACCTCCAGTATATTTAATCTGGTCGCCATATCTGTGGATAGGTGAGTCTTTTATTTCAGTAATTTCTCTTAGGCCCAGAACAGACGGTGAAACGCAACTGCAACGAAACTGCAACTTTCTGATGATTCTGATGAATGAAACTGAAACTGAAAGTTTTAAACTGGTCGCGTCATGTGTGGTCTCTCAACGGACGCTATGGCAGAAACTTAGATGCAACTCAAAAGTAACTAGCAGTTGCAGTTTCGTTGCAGTTGCATTTCACCGTCTGTTCTGGGCCTTAGTCTAAGGCCCGGTTTCCAGCAAAGCGGAAAGATGTCAGATTTCGTTATTTTCACGTCAAGTCTCCGCTCAGCTTCGGTTTGCAAATGATTGGTTTTTCAAACACATCTCTCTCCTCTCCGCATTGGTGGAAACCAAGTCTAATGCCCGTTTTCTCCATCAATCCCTAATTTTTAAGTAACCAGAATGAAAACAAAATTCCTGTTATGTATTACCGTAGGGGTCACTTAAAAATTATGGATTGATGGTGAAAACGGGTATACCCTTATTACGTAAAGAACTACTTTCAAGTGTATCTCGTCTGGATTCGACTCTCAAGAATGTAAAGCTGTAATTAGTCTAAATTTTGGAATTTAATTAGTTAAAAGGGTTGCATCTAGTTTTGGACATCGTAACGTAATACGGACCTTAATTCGTGTTTAAACTGAATTCTGGACATTCTTTCAACTACAATTAACACAAGTAGAGATCCTAATTTTACAATAGTACTTACTAATATAATATTAAAACATAAAAAGACTCAAGTTTTAGTAATGTTTTGTACAAAAAGTTACATCTTGCAAACTAACCTTTACCAAGGCTGAGTTGCACCACCTCTTACTTTATCCGTAACTTTAACAATAACCGGTGTTTTTTGTATGAAGTTTGACAGACTTTTGACGTTTGTTACAACTAAAGTAAAATGGTGCAACCCAACCTTACTTTAAAAGTTAAGAAGCAGAAAAACCGTAAAGTTCCAGTAATTTTCTTCAGTGTAAATAAAAATCCTGAGAAGATAGCACATACAAGCTCACGTTAACAAGATACCAATGAAGTGCCAGACATTTGTCTTATCTTATTCTTTACTCAAGTTTCTGCGCACTTTATAAGAACGTAATACACTTTTATATTCACCCTGTATAGTAAAGAGAGTGCTATTGCTTCGTTTGACTTTCAGAACACGTCACGAACGTGAACGCTTCTTCGCAGCCGTATCGTTGGATGTATGGATTGAAAATGCGTTGATATCAATCGTGGTGAAAAAAGAAAACGCTTCGGAAAACGAAGCATTTACTTATTGACTTTAAAAGTAAAGTATAGCCTGACCAGGAACATAAAAACCCTCGCCATGTTGCGGAAAACTAATGGTACTAATTTCTTTTAATGGCAACAGTAACTGAAAACTTCATTATAATGTCACCTTTCATGTCAGTTTATTGCTGTCATAGTGTAAACAAACTTTATTTTAAATGTGCGCAATTGATTTTGTGAATAAATTGCTAAAATCTTTTTATAGTCGTGAAAGAAAAGTGGTTCACAATGTGTTAAAGTATTTGTCGAAGGGAAATACTAAGGGTTCGGACAATATTTTCATTGAATAATGTTTCCGACAAAGGTTGTCAAATTGACTGACATGTTTATCGTATAGTACAGTCAACTATGAAAATTAGCTGTGGTTTGTTTCAACTACCTATTTTAAAGTTTTTTGTCACTTTTTAAGTGTTGAATTTTATGGAATTGGGAAAGAAGTACCGAGTTTGAAGCGTTCTTAGCAGACATTGCAGTTGAATATTCAAGTTCTGAATTTTATTATTGATGAATAATAAAATAAATCCTACTAGCTCGATAGATGGTTTCATTTAATTTATTTAAACCAGGTTACCTGTAATAATATTTTTTCGTTAATTTATGAAAATATCAAATTAGCCCGTAATTCTGAATCCTGATAGGTACATAAAGTTAGCCTATTAATTTAACTAACACAGGTACGACTGTACTCAGTGTTGCACTATCAAATGCAATTGACGCGCCTCTATGCCAGGGTTTTTATGTTCCTGGTCAGGCTATAATAATAAAGATTTATGACCTCTTCAATGTTAGTTTCACGTCAAATGCTTAATTTAACGCAGACTAAAGGTACCGTATAAGTGTCTCATACTGTCCATTATTAAAATCATTTTGTTATTTTTATTGCGAGTCAACATAAAAGCATAGTCTAAAAATGTAGAGGCCCCATTTTGTTTGTGATTGCTGTTTTTATTTTGAACCTTAAACTAGTATATAGCTTAACAGTAGACTACTGATTTAATTATTAATATGACATTGACAAGTAATGTTTATAATTAATAATATCATAACTTTTACATCATATATCCAAGTCCCTCGTCAGGCATCCTATAAAAGACAAGAGCGTACGCAATTTACCCCTTTACTTAAAGTAGCTGAATTGATGCTACCATATTTTGAACTTTACACGCATGAAATAAGGTTCAAGAGGACTGAAAAATATTTTTCTCCACTGGTTAACCGGCCTCCCGGGCAAGTGAACCGGGTCAAATCGGGCAGCTAGGCTGGCCCAGTGGGCCGCAAACTATTCGATACGACTACACGCGCCTCATTGCTTATAATCATACCCGGTTTAAACATCCGTTGTTATCATGCAAGGCATAGTAAAATAAAAAGATTACTCTAGAATATGAATCCATACACGCTCAAAATAATTAGGTGGTGTTTTGTTATATTTAACCTTAGAGCGGTTTCACACAACGTCCGATCCAAATCCGATCAGTATCCGTGAAAATTCACATTTAGTCCAGTCAATGAATGCCTTAACGACGGTGTAGAGAGAAATCCGTGGAACACAATTTCTGACCTCGGGACTTTATTTAGCCTAGTTCGGTGGTGAACATAGCAAAAGTCCCCGCCCTTAGCCCTTGAGCCGGCGGGGAGAGGGGGGTTTAAAGGTGCCACTTTTCGGTTTTTCGCTTAATCCTCGGAAACTATGCGTCCTAGTGACATGACTACTTTGAACCAAAAAAAGCATATTCAATTTGCTACAGGTGAGATAAACAAGTTTTTCTATAAATTGTATAGTTTTCGCGGCATCTGCTCTAGAAGGTCTGTAATATTGGAAATTTTATTTTTGTCTTACATGTTTCCATCAGGAGAAAATCGACTAAATCAACATTAAGCAATCATTCTAGACATGCGGGAGCATGTTAAGCCTAGTTCCAGGGAGGGGACTGCACCGTGCGTATATTTAGACGAACCACTTTGAGCCACTTTTGACTCCTCATCACTCAAAAACTACTGTGCATTAACACTTCAAATTTGGCTCATGTATTGAGACTTGCAAGATATACATCAGCTTCAAATTTCATAAATATACCTCAAACGGTTATTTAGGTATTCACGTCTGTATTTTAGTAGTCAAAGTTAAAGTCTTGTGATTAGTAAACAAATTCTTCTTACTTATTCAATGGATGTGCTTTTAAATGGTAACGCTTAATATTTATGAGCTCGCGATTTGTGAGGCTTTTGCGTATTCACGACGACGGTAAACGGTACGTCAATCTTATGTAACTGTATTAATAAAAGTCAATTTGCATCAAAAATGTTTAGTATGATGAGCTGTCGTCTATACAAAACATGCACAGAAGTATGCAGTAAATAAATTTTCAAGATTGTAAGCCGTATAGTCGAAATGTAATCCCGAAACTATACATTATTATTTCCCTTGTCATCGTGGGACAACATAAATTTATGTTAACTAAAATGGCGTCTTGCCGACCATAAATTATAACAGAATCTAGTCAAAATCAAGGGCACTTGAAACCGTTTGTGTGTTTATCCGAAATTATGTTTCATAAATTTTAAGGAGCTCACTAAATTTGTTCTTTGTAAGTAGATGGGCCAGTGAGTTTTTTATTTAGGCATCGAATAATTTCCTTTGATCTCAAGCTAACTTCAGACAGCCTTTTATTAATTCTCTGTCCACAGGGTAGTGGTTTAGACGTTTTAACATGAATATTTAAGTACAAGTTATTTGACTCGGGTAGCTAATCAAGCGAACCCGGAGTATCGTTTGCGCCCCACTGGGGCGTGTTTGGGCCAGATTTGACCCGGTTCCCTTATCCGGGGATGTGTAAGTGATACTTTAATACATGTTTAATCAATGAAGAAAGGCAGTGGATAAAAGTGAGCGATATTTCTTTGGAAAATTAATTCACTAAGAAATCTTAATAAATACCACCATGCTTTATACTCGTATCAAGTAGGCCTATGTTAAATACGTTAAATATGTAGGTTTGTAAAATCTTGGGGAATTTTTTGAGAGAAAAATAATTTACTTTTGTCACCGCTGAGACAGCTGAAGAAATGATAAATGGACCCTCGAAGGACCAATCTTTTCTAATTTTAAAATCGGTAAAGTGTGAGTTATACTCACTCAAAGGGTGTCGTGTCGTACCATCATACAACACTATCGTTATTACAGTAAAGTATTAAACTAAATACACTTTGTCTCACCACTACTTCAAAACAACAACAGCTGGTTTTTAGAAGAAGTTATTAACATTAATTGCCTTACATTACCAGTTACTTATCCTGTTATTTTTTCACAGGTACATAGCTGTAACGCAGCCAATAAAGTACGCCAAGCACAAAAGCAACGGCCGGGTATGGCTCATGATCGGTGTGGCGTGGCTGGTCTCCGGGGCTATTGGCTCCCCCATAGTCCTGGGGCTCAACAACACCCCGGACAGAAGCCCCGACCAGTGCCTCTTCAATAACACCAACTACGTTATATACTCGTCACTGGGGTCCTTTTATATACCGTGCATCATCATGATGTTTCTATATTACAATATTTTTAAGGTGAGTGAAAAAAATACTTGACTATTAACTAGGTGTTTCCAGAAAGACAGTAATAAGCGGGAATAGTCCTGGGGCTAAAGAACACTTGGGACAGAAGCCCCAGTGCCTGTTCAATAACACCAACTACCTACGTCATTAATTCTATATCACGATCATTTAATTGTCTTCAGACTACATAACAGCAGATATGTATGAATCGAAATAATATACAAACGAATGTTACCCTGTCTAGAAACCTATCCTATATCGCTAGATATTAGCTTCAAAAAGGTCTACAACGCACTAGTAAGTCAATTAGGTTAATTAATTTGTATGGAAACAAGGTCACAAAGTTACAAAGAGATCTTAAACTAAAATAATACAATATTACATTTACCTATAGCTTATTCTATAAGGCAGAGACAGGTTCAATAGAGGAGAACGAAAATAGATTTTGCATACCACTTAACTGTGTTAATACATACAAGTTGCTTGCATTTTAGGAATACCTCTCTGCGAATCCCTTTTCAGTGCTCAGTAAGTATAATAGAGCTAATTTGGGAGATATCAGGAATCGATCGAATGAGACTCAACCAGGCGTTCAAAACTTACAATCGCTCGCACCTCAATCTGCCACAAATAGGCACGGCATTGACTTTGAACCTTAATGTACCTACTGAAGTAGAAAGACAAGGGTCTTAATGCGACATTTATGACTGAGTTACATTATGTACTCACGGCTTGACGTTTCAAATGTCGCGTTAAGACCCGTATCTTTCTATTTTAGTTGAAATGGAACGCGAAAGTTTAAAATTTTAATGTACTGCTAGTTTATACTCGTAGTGCATAATTATTTGCGCTTATAAAGGCTCAGAGCAGGGATTTTATGAATATCCGTAACCGTAACCGAAACTTTCGGATATCCGTAACCGTAACCGAAACTTTCGGATATCCGTAACCGTAACCGAAACTTTTGGATATCCGAAACCGTAACCGATTCAAAAGTTTTGGATAGTTTCGGATGTAGGCAGTTTACATTTTTTTTTGTATAGCACCGACTGTGTTATAGTACAAGCAAATTAATACAAAAAGCTTGTGACTTTGTTTATAAACGAGTGTCTTAAAAATTTAAGCATAATAGAATGCTTAAATTTTATCCGCTTTTATTTCCAAACTAGTTCTACCACTTACGTGTAATCCAATAATATTGTTATTCCCGTAATTCCTTAATCAGATCACGACTCTCGTCCATCTGTCTGCGCTAATAGACCTGTCAATAAGTAAGGAAAATATTATTCGGTCGTGTTCGGCCGACCCTTTGATAAGAAAGACGTAATAGGCTTAAGTTATCGCGGATTGCCATAAAGGATGGTTGTAGCAAAGATTATTTTCTTAATTTAATAATGTTTTAAAATAATACCTATGTGAGCTAGTAAATACAGTAAACATGATTCTACGCTTCACCCTAAAATTAAGCTAGTTAATTAAACACCCTATTTAATCCTTCCATGATATCCTAGTGTTAACATTTGGACTTTGTGTATTCAGGGGCTCCAGATTCAGTTCCCAGGCTATACGTCTACTAGATTTAGTGCTATAGATAGAGATTATTTAGAAGAAAGCAATACCTAAGTTATTTTAAATAGCTGAGAGTTTAGTACAGCTGGCATTAATTTAAAATTAGATTAAAAAGAGAAACAATTTCCCAAAAGAAATATTAATTCACCGAAAAATTTTGTCAGAAGATGAATCAGATTACTCTCTTGGCACAAAGAGCATAATTTAATTAATCTCCGTACGATCTTATAATAACCTTCTTAACGCAAATTTTCATTATACGACACCAAAGCAATTTGAATCACTTATAACCAGACTCTGCAAAATACATGAAATGAAAACGAAATTTTCACCGAATTATGGATGGAAATTAAATTTTCCCGTTACGCAAGTTGTTTGTATCAGCGAGGAATTGAGTAATCAGATTTCAATAACTGAATATTGGTCAGCTTTCCCGATAACTTCGTTTTTAAGTGTTATAGGTATTGAACAGTAATACAAATTACTGAGAATTTCCCTGGACGATCACACTTTGAGTGGGGATCAATTGTGGACAAATTATTTAATTATGTGTTTCCCAAAACTCACCGATTACCCAGCCTGAACAGAAGTTGTATTAAAATTAGATAATAGTGAAAATGTATCTAGGTACCTGCCTTTCCATGGACTTATTACACTAATATTTTGCACAACCGGTAGCATTGTTGGCAAGGTAAACTTAGCAACTGTCTTAGCTTTTACAATTACAGTTTTTATAACCGATTTACCTGCGTATAAAATTAATTATCATCACTAGCTCTAACCAATAACCCTTCAGATGGACTGCTCTTTGATCCCTTCCTAAAGCGGTCTTTCTTCAAAACCAGAGCTCTTAAACCAATAAATGACTTCACTGAAGAAAAACTCGCGACCCAGTTCCATTGTCGACTCAACTTCTCGATTCGAATATCAATCGTCATCTGAGCTATGAAAAAGTGCTAGAGGAGTTTATAAGAGAGCTATAAAAGACATAAACTTTACCCACCGAGTTCACATAAAATCAGAGTAAAACAAAAGAACCAATAACATTTTTGCTATTGGAATAATATGAGATTATGAGAGCAGGGAAATGGTCGTTATCAAAACGGCTGGCTTTTAATGTTTTAATGTACAGCAATAGATTTATGATTAACGCAGTAATGAGCTATGTACGATCTCACAAAAAGATGGTAAATAATTTTTTAAACTCAACCTTCTAGAGAAGTATAAGGAAACTTAAACAAACATGTTGTTTATTTAGGTTACTAACTTAGCCTAGTATAGTTTACATGAAGTTTTACAGTTATATTATTTTTATACAAATACAAGGGACTATAAGAGTTCAATAAATAAAAGTAGATAGTTTTAAGTGGCTTTCTGAGAAAAATAACTACTTATATTTCCAAAATCTTTTTCTCGAGTTCTAACTTATACCGAAGTTGTAAAGTTACCTACCTAGTTGTTTATACACCGCGTCACTTTTCAGGCCATAAGGCAAAGAGCGAAAAAGCAGAGGATAGCCAAGAAGACGTCATCAGCTCTCGGGTCTGCGGTCTCCAGCGGGACAGCGGCTGTCGTCATCGAGAACCTGGCCCAGACGCAGAGGTTCGACGGCTCCTACCAAGAAGATAAGCCTACGAATACTGCGTCGGGGAGTAACGAGGATGATGACGATGAGAAGTAAGGTCCAGGGCCATCTAATATCATTTAATAGTTAGTAATTTGATACTGGCTGTAAAGTTTGATAAAGCTTAATGTACTGTCAACAGCATTTTGGACTACTTATACAGTTTTGATGCAAAATACCAGCTTATACAATAACTTATGATACCGCAGTGCTCTAGATGTGCTGTCATTTGTTTACTTTTTTTTCTCTCTCGATTAGATACTCTAGTATTTTTGTTGACTAGATTGCTACATCATGATTATCCATTTTGTTCAATATACTTTTTTCTACAACATATTTTTACATCGAGAAGGAGGTGGAATATCAGACTAAAGGAAGCAGCGCTATCACAACAGCTAATATCAAAATACGGCGAACAAAAGAAGTCTTGCGTTTTATTTCCTTGCATAACGTCTCATCCTTATGAAAGTCCGCCAAAAATGTTCCGCAATCTTTTGAAATTCAACGTACTTACAGTTGAAATCTTGCCAAAGCCTTATAACTTCGTTCTGGTGTGTATTTCAGCTTTAGAACAGAGATGGGCGCGTATGCAGAGGAGTTGGCAACCACCAGGTCGGCAAGGTTCATGCTGGCAGCTGTTGTTGAGGAGACTGGCCTGTAAGTTAACCTCGTAAAAGTTGTTAAGTCAATCATATTGATGGATTTGACCGCAGAAAACCTTTCGATCATCTAGATTCTAGACATATCAATTTTACCAATTTTTGACAAACATTGCAGATTACATTATTCCAAACTAATGGGCATCAGTTTTTCTGTACTTTTTTAGATACAACACATCAATATTTTGATTAGATATTTATTTGTACATCTAACCGTACTAATTAGATAATAAGTTAATGACAACTATGAGAAATAGTAACTAGATGTCAATTAGAAATAAATGCTCCAAGCTTTTTACTATTAAGTATTTCAACCTCTAAAAGTATTTTTTTTATTTATTATTTTTGTTCTTGTTCTTTATTTTGTGTCAAATAAAGATTTTCTATTTCTTTATATTTCTATTTTATTTTGGACAATTAGGCTTTTAAAAAGTACCTTTACATGAAAATATAATCCTTATTTTCCATCGTTCCCCTTTTGTTGTGTGGTGCGTCTGCAAATATGAAAGGTATATTCTTAATTCTGTCTCCAGAATAATGGCCAACCTCGCCTCGCCAATCCCAATGATGGACCCGAACACCAACAACGATTCGGGCTACGCCCCGTCCAACATAGACGGCGATGCGAAGGAGCACACGCCTCCTGCTTCTCCCACGCAGAAGGATCAGAAGAAAGAAGACAAGGAAGAAGAAAAGGAAGAAAAGGGAGAAGGAGAAAAGACTGACGCGCCGAAGAAACCGGAGTTGAAGTAAGTTTATAAAGTGTCACCCATAGTACGAGAGCCCACGACCAAAACCATGTCTCATAGCAATACGGCAAAAACCCTATAAAATCGTTAGATTGTATGATTCTGAACCCGACTAGGTGTGTAGTAACGGTCGAAAGTGTAGCAACTGCATGGGAGGCCATTTCTGCTGTGTCAAAAAAAAAAGACAGTCGTTATTATAGCAATACGTCTGATAGTGAAAATGTAAGTACATAGATTTTATAATTGTATTACGAAAAAGTTTGTTTTCAGACATTTTGCGCGTAGCATATAGCCTGAGCGCATTTTTGAAAATGTCAACAAATTTAGCCGACCTGTATCATAGCAATACGGATAAATTTTTTTTTTCAACTTTTCGTATTGCTGCCATGATTACCAAACACCTGTTTTCAGACACTTTAAGTGTATCAAAAAGTTGTATGATAGAGAAGTTGCTACACTTAATTGTCTGATATAAATTTTTTGCACATGTGGACAACTTATTTTATCATGTCCAACAATGTTCAGACATATTGCTATGATACCGATCGGTTAAATTTGTTAACATTTTCAAAACGGTCTCAAAATTTAATGCCTTCACATCTCCGTCTGAAAATTGTTTTGTTCGCATCAAATAACCAAAATTTACTAATAAAAAAGATTTTCAGACGTATTGCTATGAGACATTTTTTTTGTCTCATTTTTAATTTTTTTAAGTGATTTTACGGGTTTGCGCTACACCACTAACGTCTGAAAATAATGTTTCCGGTATCTAAGAACTATCATTCAACTACAGTCTGCAAATCAGACATATTGCTATGATGCAGTTCGGTAAAATTCTTTGACAATTTTGAAAATTCGGTCAGATCAAACGCTACGCGGAAAATGTCTGATATTGGTATTTTCGAGTTCAGGATAATCGTATCTATCGATTTGATGCGGTTTTGGCCGTATTGCTATGAGACAAAAATTTTGGTCGTGGGCTCTCGTACTACCATCTATAGGTCCCCATTTAAATCTGTGAAGAGATTTCATGCACCTTACCTTGATACTGTTTATGAATGAAGGAGTGTAAGAAGTAAGTAGAAGTTTGCTTGGAGTAAAAGTAGGTATCATCAATCCAAGTTAACTTTATTTAGTATAAGGAACATTAATATCACACAATTTCCCACTTTTTTAAGTCTTTTGATTCAAATTCTTCTGAAAGAAAAGTGACATTTGCACTTAGGATGCCTATACAAAATATTTAAGCTTGTTTGTTGCCGCTATAATCTGGTGTACTGATGATAGTATATTGACCATAAACAAGTTCACAAGCAAGATCTTATATGATAAGAATGGGATGTCTGGAAGCAGATAGGCTGTTTTATCAAACAGTCTCACGCCCGTATTCACAAACATTTCTATGAGGTCTCACAGTGCGCGTGCTGGACGCATAGTGACACATGAGCCAATCATTTTTTGTGAATACGGGCGTGAGACTGTTCCTCCTATTCTTCTTATCCTCCTATTCTTATTATCCTATTCTTAACATAAATTGGAGCTATTCGATTTCATTCGGCCATATTTCGTTCCATCTATAACAAGTGATGTATTGAACGAGTTCCACGGCGTATGGGTAGATTTATGCGGTAGTATACCATTAGGCGAGCCATTTCACACGCCTGCTGACGTGGCTGTCACGGTTGCCTGCGGAATAAGTATTTTTAGTATTGCGTTTCATTTTCGTATCTTGACTGAAATGACGTGAACCACATGGCATTAAGCACCTGATGCATCAACAGATATGGTTGAAACTTTAGGGGATAGATGTTGCGGGCAGTCGTAGCAGGGAAATTATTCATTTGAAACACAGATTTTCTGCAACGGTGTTTTATTGTTTGAGAGATTTTCACTGCCTACGTGCACCACACGATCCTAATAGTGTAGGACATTTTTATGAATTGTAACCACTTATACGTTTATCTGTCTGCATGTATGTATAAGAACATCGGCATAATAATGTAATGCCTTTCATAACTGTATGAAATTCATTTCATTTTCCTTACACGTGGGCAGTTCATATATCGATTTGGTCTTAGAAATATAGGAGTTCTTTAGTTACTTTCCTGCTTTTATTACATGACTTTTAGGTACGTTCAAGTAAAGAAAAACCATTAAAAATAAATAACTAACTAATCTTTACTTAAAATTCTATACCAAGAAATTAAATCTTGGCCATGTTTAATTTCTATTCTGGATGCAAACGGGAGTACTTAGAATTTTCAACTATTCCGCAGCTCTGCACTTATGGAAATGCATCCGTTCACTCCGCAGCGAGAAATGTTCGCCGAGTGTAAGAAAGTTCCGATAAAAACCACTTGAGCATGATATATTTTATTAGGAACTTGCCATTTCGTGACATTTTCTGCACATAATTTCAGCGAATATTGTTTTGCTGACTGCTGGCGATTGCCGGTTCAATCTCATAGTTTTACGCATATAATATTCCGTACTTTTGAATCACCTAAACATAATTTTAACACTAACAATGTAAGCATCGTTGAATGGTTCCGGGACATGTCAGGAGTCTAGTGTAGTCTTCAGTTTGACTGTTTTTCTAAAATTAATTAGAAGTGTCCGGACTTTTAAAATTATTTGGTTGCCGTACACAGTCCAGTTTTCTAGAAAATAATTAAACGGTCGTTATTTATGCAGGCAGCCAGCATATAAACAGATTACCTTCTGTAAAGGCTGCTGAATACTTAATACCTCAAAAGCATTCAGTGTTTTTAACCTGTTTACAACAGAACAATAAATTACCTGGCAACTCCACGGAGTCATCGTTATGTTAATTTATTTAAAACCGAATATAAATGCAAATGAAGTGCGAAATTACGCTTTAACTCTACTCATTTACGAGCGAGACTACGTGAAGTTGCTTTGAGAAGTATATAAGAAATACTTAGCACCTAAATTAATCAGATTTACTCCCTTAATAAGATAGCATCTTATTTAAAGCTTCTTTATTGTCCATCAAACATCCAGTTTACTGCTAGAAACAATTGGAATCAAGGACACCATGATTAAGGATCGTAATCTAAAATGACATTCAATACTTTTATAGATAAAATTCAGTATCGTAACGAGGGCATAAAATGCTAAATCCTCAAATTTCCTATCTAGATTAATACCCTGTGACAATCTTGGCTCTGGTAGAGGCCAAAAGGCCATAAAGTGCCATATTTTTAATTGTTCCAAACTTTGGTCAAAACTAGCTATACAAAGAACTTTGGTAACTCAAACCAAGGTACAAAGTATTATATTATTTGTGAATTGGGGTCTACCTAATTCATTTAAAGTGTTAGAATTGATCCTTTACATGAAATAGGTAAGTTTCTCGTGTGACCGATTTGACATACTTGAGTGGTCGCTTGAACGCGATTCATCAAACTCAGAACTCAAGCAAATATTTGAAAGCGTTCTGAAACTCGCAGGTTTTAGTTGGGCCCACACTAGTTTGGGTCCACTTCCCCCCCCGCCCCGCACGGTGTAGTGCTAGCGTACGGAGCTCTCGGGAGTTTTTGCTTATAAAAATAGATAAATCGCTTATAAGTGTTTGTGAGTGTAATAATCGGTTTGTATGTGACACGAACTACGGAAACTGTAAGTTATTCTGTCTATTTATCGCCTCGTTTGTATTTTCTGGTTAAATATTCGGTGAGTAAACATCTTTTTTATTTTCTCTCGTTGCGGGTGTTTGATAAAATCGGCCCGCGCCAACCGAGGTGGCGGGTCGACCGTAAGCGCGCTGCGTCAGCGGTGCGCGTTTCCATTGCGCCCGACTAAAAACTCGTCCGTCATGCCTCTGTTCAACGATCAACCCGTCGACGTCGCTAACGAAGTGTTTCTACGTAGCAATTTAACGCAACGTTCTCCGCCTAGTGTAGGAAAAAGGACACGTAGCGAAGCATTATCTCCAACAAATGTGTCGCCATCGTCTTGTAAACGCGTACAACTATCGGACTCGCCCGGTGAACTGCTCCTGAATCGAATGTACCTACTACTGCTATTTCTATTTATTTATATTAACCGGCAGACAGTGGTGACTGAGTTTGTTGCGGCGCTTCTTCTCAGCACTTGCCAAATGTTGGTCTCGAAGCGCTGGTAGGGTAAAAAGATTATGAGACATGTAGAGGCTCCTTAAGAGCAAAATGACGATTTGTAAGAACTATTTATTAGTCTAAACAAATAAAGAAATTTTGACTTTTGACTTTTGACTTTTGACCCTCAACGCTCTACCCAAAATACGAGTTGGTCATAGAATGAGATGCCCTCTCCATATTTGTGGATTACAAAAATCTCCATTAACCTTACCTTGGAATGGAATTTCTAGTCATGTCAGAGACTAAGTTGCAGAAAATATATACATATAACTTCAAAAATTAAAAATTCTTTATTTCTTTATAAGTAAGCCTTTATAAAGGAATAAAGAATTTTGAGCGGAACATAGTGATACTACCTAATGTAACATGTCACCATTTTACCTATGATTCACAATAAATGATTTTGTATTTGTATTTGTATTTGAATTTTTGAATTTTGAACATTCGTTTTCGATTCAAAATTATTCATACGGCTCAGTCAAAATATCGAATTATATTTATTTGCTTAACTTTTATTTTTTATCGTTTTCAACCGATTTTATAAAGCAACAACATAAGCTGACCTTCTGAATGGAAAATCTATTGACGAAATCATAAAACCAAATATTTTCCAAATTTTTAATGAAAACATTTAAACATTGATCCGTTAAAACCGCCAAAAGGTTATACTGATACTCCATCAATCAATTTGAGTATAAACAAACAGCTCGTAGCACAGAAAAATTCTCGAGTGGAGACCGCGAAACGAAAAACGTAGAGTAGGCAGGCCTCCTACTCGGTGGCCCGATGGTCTGGTGAAGATCGCTGAAAACACCTGGATGAGGGCAACTCAGGACTCTCTACGGAAATCCGTGGGGGATGCTTTTGTCCAGTAGTAGACGGATTTTTTTTTATTCACAACGAGGAAGCTCTTGTTCTGTATCTCACCTGATGGTAAGTGACGATCAGACCGAAGGTGGAAGCGAGCTTCACCTGGAATCCTCAACCACGGATCAACAACCACGAATTTGACTGAATCGACGAAATAAACAGCACAACTTCTAGTACCCATCTCGTAAAAAAATAACCAATACCTGAAACAGATGCTGATACTTGTTTCTTTACTACCTTCAAAGGTCACCTTCACGAAATTTTCTGTAGACGTATCATTTTTAACCTCGCTGTACAATATTGCTTCCAAATTGCTAACAATAAATTCTTCACCTGTTCCGTAGTATAAAATGAAGATAAAATTCATATTGTAAAGGTGAAAAATTTATCCACTTACGACGTCTGCACAATAACATAGCAAGCGATATATTTCAGGCACACAACGAAATAATAAGCAGTGGCCCCATTCTGCATATAATGTATATGTTTATTCTGATACTTCAACTCAGAATAAAGGTACACATGAAAATGGTTATGAAAGAGATTAGGTATTCACCACAGACACTCGGGATAATATTTTTTTAAAGATTGTAATAATCATAATCTAATAATTTTTATAAGTAAATTTGTATTGCACATATACCTCAACACCAGCCAATATGTTGTCCCGAAGTAGTGGTAGAGCAAGCTATATTTGGAAGTGAAGTGCCCTGAAAATTGTTATGTATGGAGGGTAAACCTTAAACTTATTATAAATACTACTGTATGATCTGTGGTTCGCCAGTTCACAAATAGACGTAATAGCAAACAGACCGTTGTTTCATTTTATCCTATGTCCTACATATGATACTAATAATGAATGAATCTACTTATACAATTTCGTTCCATTCTTCTATTCTGCGCCGCTATGCCTGCGTCTAAACATACTTTACGCACTAATAACGTACATTTTTACATAAATTTTTGGCAACGAGAACAGTTCTTTAATGTGATATTTTTAAGATCTGTTTCTACAATCCATTTCACAGGAGATCTCGAGACTGTAGCCTTTGTCCCCGTTGTGTCACACCATTTACATATTATTGCCACATAGGTATTTGAGATAGTATACCTATGTATAATGATCCTATTGTATGAAGCACAGTTGTTGTGATATTACTTTCAGGGTTTTAAATTAAAACAAACGGACGTGCCATCTTGAAATTAATGTTGTCAAGTAAAGCACCGGTCGTGGAGCGTCCACGAGATTTATGATCGCTGTCGTCTTACTATCACGTACTTTTTGTTAATTTGCTTTAAGGTATTAATTTTAACTTATCTGTAATTTTTCTACGAATTTTTCTTACGCGTGTTTGGTCTTTTGGAGTGATTTATTTTAAGTTTCTTAAAGTCATAGATGTGGACAATATCATTCAATTCCTATAAATAGATTAATAAGTAGGTACTAAGATGAAAACGCGACTAACGCAGCGTTAGACAAGGCGACAGGACAGATGACCACATTTTACAGAAGGTTTAGGCCGCTACCAACAGGCCGATTTGGAAATTATTGGGCGAGGCCTATTTTCAGCAGTGGACGTCATTCGATCCATTACAACTGCAAACTAAAGCACTCAAAACGTTTACTTGGAATTTAGAATCGGACACCAAAGCTTAAAGCATTTACTCAGGAATCTAGTACCAAAGTAATAATAATGAAAGGCTATGTCACAGAGCAATATTGGATTAATAAGACGAGTAATTGGATTCTGTTTAGTGTCCCTTTCTTAATGAGCATCCGAATCGGTCAAGAAACTTTCTTCGGGAATATTCTTATGTATTTGAGCCCTCGGTAGAGTTCGTATAGCTTGTTACGTCAGATGACGGAGCTGTTCCAAGCAGTTTTTTTAAAGATCTGTATGATTTGAAAGTCTATACACTTTACAAAATTTCGTGGACACAGTTTTGTTGATTTTATGGACTTTTGGGCCTCAGAATACCAGCCATTTAGAAAAGTACTAAAAGTCATAAAATAATGTGATTTAGTTTCGGTATTAGGTATGCTTTTAAACGCGTTAAATAAGTTTTATTGAAGCTAGCACCTACCATCGTTATCGATACTGATTCCTCTGTTGATCATACCAAGATCGCCTTTTTTATTCTTTTGCTGGAAGCCAACCTTTAGCAAAAGAACTAGAAAAGTTATCACTATCATATCAGTTTTAGGCATTAAAAGACATGCATATTTTATCAACAGGAAGAAACTCAGCCGCCTAAGCAGCAGCTCCATCATATCTACTCCCCGGAGGAGGTTCAGGAGTGCAGCCTCTGCAGCCAGGTTCACAATCTTCAGGGCCAACAGGGTCGGGAAGCTCCGAGCCAAGTCCTTCGCTAAGAAAGAAAAGAAAGCCACCCAGACGCTTGCTATTGTTTTAGGTGACTATTATAATCTTGATAACGTAATTCGTAAGACGTGGGCAGGCCCCCCACTAGGTGGACCGACGATCTGGTGAAGGTCGCGGGCGGTGCAGACTGGTCGTTATGCAAATCTTTGAGTAAGGCCTTTTTCCAGCAGTGGACGTCATTTGGCTGGCTGAAATGAACGACAATTCATTATTATTTACTTGTAGAACAGTAGATAATGTACAAATTATTTTTAAAGAGACCTTCAATCATTCAAAACTTATTTAATCTCTTCATTATAACCCCAAACAGTTTTCAATTTAATTAACTGTTTAGAATGAAGTTTAAGTTCCATTTGAAAAGGGTCACTTCAGTCCGTCATCAGTTGATTACAAAGGTTCCTCTGCTATAGAAAGTTATGGAGTATCTAGGTGTTTTACCAGCTCTTAAAATATCTATTGCTAATGCTAACTAAACTGCCCAATTACTATATTTTTTTGTGCAGAGGAACGGCAGGAATTTGACCGCAATCACAGTGAGATGCAGTCTAGGATGGTACATAACATACCTGTCCTGTAAGTGCCTATTCACTCTCGCCTTGCCTGAATAGTGTTCTGCCCTGTAAGCGCCTATTCGCTCTCGCCTTGAATAGGTGCTTTAATAGTCTTCAGGAAAGACAGCAGCAGGCAGCGAATTTTAGTCCCTACCTAGCTAGCATTATAAAAGTTTGTCACAAGACATGTTTTCTTTTTCCAGGTGTCTTCTTATTCTGCTGGGCGCCATTCTTCACCTGCTCCGTCCTCGACGCCCTGTGCACCAAGTTCGACCTGTCCTACTCTCCAGGGGTCACCGCCTTCATCCTCACCACGTGGCTCGGCTACATCAACTCCTTCCTCAACCCAGTCATCTACACCATCTTCAACCCGGAGTTCCGAAAGGCATTCAGGAAGATACTCCATTGCGGCACCTAGCCCTTGGACTTTTATTTTGTATATAACTAAAGCATCCCACGTCCTCCAATGTTGACAGCATTATGGCCCAGAGAGCCTTGACAAAGTGGCATTGGGGACAGTTTTCGAAATCGTTTCACGCAGCGAAATACTCAACTTTCGAAGCGATTTCGAAATTACAACTATCAAGTTTGTAGTTATTTCCTTGTCTTGTCTAGGGGGGCGGTTCCTTAATTCGTGACTGTTTAAGAACCATTTTGGTGCCATTTTCTCGGTTTTTATCTTTTTAGTTTTCCACTCTGTGTTGTTTTTTAATGTTTCACAAAAATAGTATTTTTTTGTCTTTAAACTCCAGTTTTAAGCTTTTTAAAAGATTCCAGTGATGTTACTTGATCCTAGCGATATCAAGTATAAATTATTTGATTTTTAATTTGCTATCAATTTTACGAGCAAAATAATGTCCAAATCGATTCTCTCATACATAACTGACTACACATGTTTTGTATTAAATTCCGTAATTTTTTAAAATAATCTGTAAGTAGGTACAGTTCTAAAACATTATATTATTAAATTAGATAAGCACTGCCTGTGATTATTTTTATACTAAACTGTCAACTTTATCCCTTTTTCTACCACAATTTCATTAAATAAAACCATTTTATATTTTAATGTTAATTTAAGGATCCCTATGGTTGTGATTTCTATTTATTAATTAAAATCTTCAATATACAGCAATAAATTTGTAATAAGTAGATCCTATGAGCTTTAGCTGTTTAATATTAAATAATGTAAAACATATAATTAAATGTTCACGTAGTATCATTATAAATTATAATATCGTAACTGGTAGAAAATTAACTGTAGATACATAACTAAATAATCAGCGAAATACGTACCCACTTACTTATATTCGTACTGCAGTAAAGTTAGTTGTAGGTACTTCTTAGTGTAAATAAAAGTATTTTATATTTACTTTTATAGAATCGCAGTTCCTTTTGTAACAAATATTTAACACGCATAGTAAGCCAGTAAACTCATACATAAGATTATTTACGTTATATTTTCTATTGCTATCATTAACTCAAAACAATTTTTTCACATTTTATGTGTGTAAAATATTCTACGAACATCGATTGATGACGAATTTTTATTGTAAATAATATGATAAAGAAATTAAACTTACTTAATTGTTTTTCATGATTTTGGCAATGGCAAACTAAATACTCTTGATAGAAAACGGTTTCAAACTAGTCTAAGTTATACGAGTAGATAATTTCCAATTAACATTTTCATGATATACCTACCTAAATAATTTCACCCCACTACTTATTTTGAAAGAGAGAAAGAAAAAATATTAATTTGGTACCAAAATTAACTTGTGAATTGGAACAAACATACTCAAATTACTCAAGAATGTAGTTAACATAATTTAATTTTATTAATTTATAAACTAAAAGCTTATTACACTAAAATTTTTCCCCAGCCGGTTCAAAGTCGAACCCGCAACTGTATCTGGCTGTAATCCGACACGCTAACCACTATGCCACAGCAATTTTATAGACTTTATTATTATTCAATAGTATCTATCTAGTCGATTTCAGTGCTATTAAGTTTTTGACTTCCTTTATTTTATAGTCTTAAATAAGATAGTAATCTAATTACATTGTATAATTTTGTTTACGTATTTAATAGTTTCTCAACCCTTGTCCTAAGATTCGATGCCAAAGATCATTATTATGAATAATACATAGGTACAGTTATTTATTATAATTATTTGTAAGTAACTTATCTACAATTATTGATCTTGTAAATAAATTGTAAAAATTATATTAAAAGTAAAAAATGTTGTACAATTTGATGTTGAAATAAATGGATGATAAAAATATTCACTATTTCATTGAAAAAAAACCCTTGAATCAGTCGCACCTATAATAATAAAGTGCCCAACTCGAAAAATCAGTTTTTAATTATTATTAAACAAAAACTGGAAAGTGATTTTTTGATGTGCATATAGGTAGGTAGGTAGGTAGGTACCTACTTAACAAGATGATATAAGGTACGTATCAAAACATTCGTTTAATAAAACCCAAACAGCATTTTACGATTATTAAAATAAATAAATACGAATTCGAAAAAGGGTTAACCCATGATTTATTTGCAATGCCCTATACTTTTTTAAACAGTCGGGTAAAATCAGAAACTTTATAAAATATACGACTAGCGCCATCTATCAAAACGTTATCAAATCAAATTCCTATTAGAGTAGTTTTAAAAACACTCAAAGTCATTTTATCGCCTTTTTAGTATTTTTGATGTATAATTTATATAATAAAGACATAAATTTAATTTCTAAGATAATCAGAAAGAGGATGTTGATAAATATAAAGTATCTAATATGACTAACAGTAAAAAAGCATGCATGACCACAAGAATAATAGATTGCAATTACCACGACAGATGGCGCTACGTGAACGGTAAACAAGAAATATGTCACGCCCCAATATAGCTAATACATAAACGATTTCGTGACGTGGTGAGATAGACGCTTCTTCATATTCACGGTATTTATATTTTCAATTCATCACAATAGCATAAAAGTAATTTTATTTGCGAATTTTCCTTTGCAATCATAATGCAACAAGAAATGACATTTGTTTGTTTCAAGCCATCAAATGTGAGAGTCATGTTACCTTCCTCGCTCTTACAACGTATACATAGATATTAGATAGAAAGAGACAAACGATGTAATTCTTGCGTTTCAAGTACAGCAGTCTCTTTGGTATCAGCTGACAACCAAAGCAAAAACAGTCGGTGTGCGACCATCTTGTCAAAACTGGAGTTCGGCGACAACAAATAAATATTGTAAAATGTCGTAAATCGCTCGTAATGACTTAAATCCAAGTTCGTATCTAATAAAGTATTGTGTTTATTTTATGTTGGTGCTGTTTTTGACGCGGTTACTATACATTTTGCCACATATTTTCGGGTTTGTGTTGCGTCAAATGACGTCATGTATGTGATTATTATACACGTATCGCGGCTGACGAGTTCGTAAGTATTTTCTTTTATTTCTGTGTGGTTTTTATTAATTTAGAGTTAATTATGAGTAATTTTCCATTGTTGGCCAATGCGAGTTTCATTCATGAATCGTGTAGAATTGGGGCGCAGGGGCCCATCAGTTTTCAATACGTGACGAATTGAAGTTTAGAATGCCCTTGAAAATTATGCAGCAAAATCGCGTCGCTAAAACCGATGGACTGGGTCCATTGAGGCAGTACAGCAAATTTTGTTCCATTCATAATATTTGCCCCGAAGGTCGTGGCCTGCCTGCAAGCAAAGATTCCGCTTGGCAACAAATGAGCGTTCATCGCGCACTTTACTAAAAATGGAACGCTCTCGACGCGTAGAAAGTATTGTGTTGTATGAAACATTGAAAGTAATGTAATATTTATGTAGTAGGTAGCTATCTGAAAATGGCGGACCTATCGGGCTCACTCACGTCGATTTAACTAGTTACCTACCAAGTTTTTTGTTAACTGCACGTCTAACATTCAACTTGGGCAAATCGTAGCACGCTACGTTGCGATCTGACACAGTTATCCAAAGATTTAATTACCGACAAACTTGTTAAAACTTATCCATTTTCGTGTCTGTGTTGTAAATACGTAATGTGTACCTATTTAGCTTTAATTACCTACATTATTAAGCAAGTTATCTAAACAAGCGAGCGAGACGCACGTTATTTTATTCTCGTTCTGTCATGTTGTAGGTAGATGACAACAATGCATTTTGATTGTGTCTGCTTTATCGCGAATGTCTACACGAAAATCAGTCTTTTTCTATTACCTTATGAGTTTTCCAATGTTTTTATAACCAAATCGTCCAAAATGGTGTTGTGGCAGTGTACCTGCCTAATCGTACCTATTTAACTGCATTTTTTCCTTGTGCTTCGCTAATCTAATCATGCAACTTGTGTTACCCATTGGCAGCAGGAATATCTAAAATTTTTCAATATTAGCTTTGTTTTTGTGATGAAATGTATTAAAATTCTAACACTACGCCATCTGCTGACTGTGTGACGGATTATACTGTAAATTAAAGTATTGGTTTTCCCTGGAAAATACGTAGACGCGTACCTACCTTACGGGAAGATTGGGGGATTCCCCGCTTTAAAAAACGAGTAGGCATAGATAGCATTCTCGGTTTATGATTCATCCATAGATAAAACTATCAGTACCTACTTGTCTATTTGTTTGTAATAGGTTCGTGCAGTGATTACTTATCATCTTCATTTGAGCCGTTATTCCTCCTTCCTTGCAAGCTACTTTCATTAATAGACGAAAAATCCCATACGCAGTCCTAAATATAATATTAACACATGCAAAACATGACGCAATATCTAAATAAAATGCCCCATGAAATGTTTCGGAAAAACGTTTTTCCCTCCCAGATTTATTTTCGTAATTTTACTCTAGTTGAAAAATTTTCAATCCAAAACCATTGATAGACCATTGGAAAGAAATCTAACTAAGGCTACGTCAAATCATCCAAATAAATACCAAAATGGACTTTCAAAAACTTTTCTCAAAGACTTTCAATCAAATCAAATTAGATTGAAAGTCTTTGATTGAACTATTAGATTGTTCAATATTGTGTAAGATGCCTACACTACACCCTCGCATTTTACCTGTTTGTTGGGAACTTAATATGAAATATTCACTGCATAATGTCGTGTTCAGTGAATGTCACTCTTTGTTTGTGAACACTGACATCCCACACGTAGTTCATCCCTGTATCGCTAAGTTTATGACTAAAATATTGGGAGGAACCATCTTCCTTGTTGCTTGTTACTTAGTCACTCACGTAAAAACAATTAAGGGAAATGTAAAATTACTGTAACAGCAGAACATTAGTTATAGCATACACCAGAACAACAAATAAATTTTACGAATGTTGTCTGCAAATTAAATCTCAGGCGTCTTCAAAAAGCATAATTTAATTAAATAAATGGATGCCCTAATTTGAAAAAAAAAAAGCAGTCTAATAAGAATTTTCCCGCTTTTTATCCCGTTTTCGCAAATACACGTGACAATGTTGGCAGTTAATTAATCAACAAAAACGTGAAAACTCTACGCACAAATCCAAACTCGGTTCCAATAGTATTTTGCTGAGCCACAATTCTAAAGGAGAGTCGAAATTTGAAATCACCCAAATATCAAAGTTGCTAAACCTTTATGTATCTGAATACTGGAAAACCCGAAGGACCTTGTTCGCATAACATTCTAGAACATTGTCTAGACTGTGTCTAAAAGCTTTAGGTGAGAGAGACGTCAGGTAATTCGAGAAGGCTCTGATCACAATACCCTAACCCTTTTATCTCCTAATTAACTAATGGACACAACAAAGGTAACATACACCTTTTCGTCTGAAATCTTAACAATACCGCCATTCATATTTCATACTTTCCCGACGAGTTGTCGCCAGTGTATTAATACTTCTTATCTTGGAAGGGTAATAAAATCCAAATTGAAACATAAAAAATATCACCAAGTACGAGGCTGTTAGAGCAGATGCACACACATGTGGATGAAAGCATTTTATTTATTGAATATTTGGTAGAGGAAATACAAGAAGAAATTAAGATAAAAGATGATAATTTAAAAGACGATGATGGGAAATAAAACCAACTCGAGAATCAACTTCTTGAAATACGTCACAGAATAGCCTAACTTAACAAATAGTTGTATAAGATAAAAACCACAAAGGTTGAAATATCGATAAAACTGACCAAAACAAATTTATTTCTGGCATGTACCTACTAGTGACTGTTTTTAAAAACAAACAACAATTAAATGTTGGGAATTAATTATATTGAGAAAGAAAATTCTCTGAGTTACACTTCGATAGTTAAAAAGTGATTTGGGTAATCGATGGCATGGGTTGTGCAACCAGAGAGCATTTTTTGTCCCATTTCAATTTCAACACCATTGGCGACTTTTCCGTTTATTCGCTCACAATATGGCGGATTAAGTAATTGGCGGCAAGCTATAAATAGCCGGATGCCTCACTTCTGCAACAATACTGCTGATTTGTTTACGCTTTCCATCACGTTTTGAAGATAAAGAAAACTATCGACACCGTTCCGATCATTCGATAAAAACGATTAGCAAAACACATTAGAATTTTATTTCTGTTTCTTGGAATTTAAATTTTATAGTTCCAAACGCAGAAGACATCGAAAGCATTTAAGCAGATTATACTGCAACAAAAGATAACAATAAAAGCCTTTACGGTTGAATTAAAAAGTTAATGTTCATTCAAAATGTAAATATTGCTAAAGGCTCAAAATTTGGATGCTTCTATTGCAACATGTACCTTGTTACATTACAGATAGTTATCTAACAATATTTCAACCTTCGCAATGCGGAAAATCTTGGTCCAATTTTTTGCTACACCATCGCCTCGGAGCAGCCAGCCGACCAATGGCGTCAATTGATGCACGACCTATTCGATCTTTTAACAGCTATTGATAGTGTAATTGCCATCCTAGATGAATCGCTCCCAGATGCAACAATGTCAGTCATTGAAGCCAATATTTCAAATTACGCAAACAATTGAAAATTGGACTCTCCAGCTGCATTATAAAGTCTATAAGATACGTCTTATTTACATGTTGTTTTTACGTGATTGTGTGATTCAAAGTCATTTGTGAGCTGTTTTGATGCTTATAAAAAGTCAATATTGACTTTGTTAAAGTTGGCAGTATAACAAACTCGGACCTTTAAATCATTTGATTGAATTAAATCATCGATAAACACGTGACCCGAACGACCTATGATAAAAGGAAAATTAAATTAACCTAGTGCGACAAGTCGGGGATGTGTCTAAAGATGAATATTTGTTCTTACGTCAGTTGTTTACTCCGTGAGGTGCATCTTTGTGCAATATGTGTTCGAACTTGTGAAATGTGCTTTAAATTATATTTATTGCTCTATTTTTTTCTAAATTAATAACATCAACTGTGTCACACACAGTATCTCATAATCTTGCAGCTGTCTTTGAATTCATAATAATATTCTCACAACAAATAACATCGATAAGTTGTTTATGCTTACTGAATGTAATTTTAATTTGTAAATAATAAAGGTTTTGTTAATTCATCCTGAAATGCCACTTGTATTTTGTACCTATCATCTTTTTTGTTTTGAGTGACACCGTCTGAGATTTTACTATCAAAGTCACTTTGTATGTTCAGTACTTACACATTAATTACTCCATTACTCATAATTTGCGTCATTTATTTATGTGTTATAGTCAAACGTCATTGTAACCTTTTCTCGTAATGACTGATTTAGAAATCTTATGCCCCTATAACCAATGTTTTTTAGCAAGTTCATGGCGAAAAAGATTTTAAATTCAGCTTCTGACTGGTGTTTCTAGCCAAAGCTGAACCTAGGCCTAATTTTAGTCATACGAAAATCGAAAGTAAAATAGTATTTTTCGAACTTTGTCTACTAATCCGAAATAGAATCAATTTGTCAGCATCTGCCACCTTCCAAGTTGGTTTTTCCTAGAGTAATGGGACTATTCCCACTTCTCGTTCCCACCGCTGCAACTCCTGTGTAGCCAGGATTTACACAGGCTTGATCGCCAATAAAAACCCAACTAGTGAAGGTCAAGTTTGTTGTTCCCAGGGGAAAGTTAAACTGTCATTGGACCCGCAACGAAATTAATGAAAAGAACATAGGAAGAGTTGGGAGTTAAGGTTCGACTTATCCAGTGCGAAGCGGATGAGTGGCAAAACAAAGGTTTAATAAAGTTGGACTAGCCAAATCTAGGAGTACCGGAGTTTCAATGTTCGACTATAGCATACGCAATAGTGGGTGTAGATATGACGCGCGGTGACGCTATTCGCCATGTTTTTACAAGCCGGGCCAAGTCAAATCGTACGTAATTTGCTCTCATCAAAATCTCGTTCATGCCAACTGCCAGTCATTTACAACCACAACAAAAATATTTTAAACGGAATCCATTTACTTTGCGATGTTTAA